ACTTGTACTCTACTTTATAAGGTTAGATGTGGGGATATCTGGTGGGCATATTCCACAGCTCTTAGCACTGCAGTAACTTGAGTTACTCTATGGCTAGGGACAGACATTACACATAAACCAGTTTAAGTGATCAGAAAGTGGTTTAAACCTGTAAAAGAACAGATATTCAGTGCATATAAACCAGTTTGAGAATGGCTGAAACCAGGTTGAGATAAACCTGGTTGAATGTAGTATCAAATTTAACTGATTTGGCTCAATCCAGTTTATGCAAAGTCTGCTCCAGACCCCTTTCTGGTTTGAATTAAATCAGACTCTCCCAGCATCCTCTCTGGGCTGGGCTGGGTGGAGCTCTTTGCTCCACAGCAGGGCTGGCCCCTCTCCTCTGCTCCCTGGCTGCAGCTCTGGCAGAGACTTGTAGGCACAGCAGGGCCTGCCTGGTTTCCCTGTGCCCCGCCCCCCTGCTTAAACAGAGATCTCTTCCTTTTCTCTCCCACAGCACAGACTGTATGCTAGCTTATGCTGTGTAAGGCAGATAGGACAGTTTCTGCTTAGGGCTTTTTTGGAGGCAATCAACAACTCAGATGGTAATATCCCTGCATCCCTTCTTCAGAAAAGACAGACAAGGTTCTTTGGGTAAATCTGATATCTTTTATTAGACCAACTAAGTAGTTGGAAAAAAAATTCATAGCAAGCTTTTGAGTTTAAAAACCCTTCATCAGGCTGAGGAAGCATTTGCAGTTGGTGTGTGCTCTTCCTGGATGGAATGAATAGTAAAGAAGCCAGAGGCTGGTATGCATTTTCCTTTGGAAAAATCTGTTTAAGAAGAGCTTGCAATGAACGAGGCTTTGTTTTCTGATGGGGTGTTAAATGCTGATAACAGAGCTGATAAATGCTCTGTTATCAAGTGGAGGGAGGGAGGGGACCCCTCCCTAATCAGAGCATACTGCCAGGACCTGGCCACACACCCCTCACCTCAGCCCTTTGCAAGGGAAGAGAGGGCTGCTCTAGCACCCCCCGGCTTCTAGCCTAAGCCACTGGAATGTCTATCTGGTTATAAAAATGATTTAGCCTTTCCAGGTTAGACTAACCTGCAAAGATTGAACCAATTCAGGCTCAGGCTTTTTGAATGCCTGTCCCTAGCCTAAGACTCCAATCCTTTTTTTTAAGTATGAGCCTCATGCAGTGGAGAGATTGCACCTGATCTACTTCCTCTTCTGTTTTCCATGTGTCCTAGGCCATTTGGCCTTCCTTCTTGTGACTATAACATCCTTATGACAAAGATTTACATACAACAATAATATTAAGACAAATTTATATTTTAAAAATCTTTTAATGACATTTGTCAGCTGGCAGTCAGCAAACTGTGACCAGTCAGTTCCATAGGAGCTATCAATATGTGCCCTGTGGGTCACCAAAGTACTAATGTTCCAGAACTTCCACTGGGTTCAACAGAAAAATGATCAACCACATTAAAATGGTTTGGATTCTTTTTTCATCAAATGATTATTAACTTTTTATTTCTGGGGTTGTTTGTCTTGAGAGCAATTAGTTTTACTCCTGTATCATTTTCCTGAATTCCAGCCACTTTTGTTTGCAGGCAGGTTAGAGTTTAGTTTTTTGAATTCCCTTAGCAAATAAAACAGTATTTGATTGCCTGTCTTTGGTATCTCACAAATGTATAATAAATAGAGAAATTGAATTGTACTTTATCATTACTTTTTCTTTTTCAGCATTCTGTGAAGAGGGATGCAGATATGGTGGGACATGTGTGGCACCGAACAAGTGTTCCTGCCCTTCTGGATTCACAGGAAGTCATTGCGAGAAAGGTAAAGTAAGAAATATGATGCCTTGAAGAGGCAATTGCTGCTTCCCATTGGTTTACATTCTGGGTGTTTTTCTCCTCAGTGAATTGTGTATACGTTGATTATTTAGGTAACTGATTTTTTCTACCAGAAAAATATTTTCTATTTCCCATGGAAAATTAAAAAAAAAAAATCAGTGCACTGCCTGCCACTGTTTCTAGTGGACATCTTTAGTGCTAATTAGAGATAAAGCCAACTGAATTAAATTGCCCCCACCTGTCATTTCTGGTGTCACTTGAAGGTGACCTTCTGATTTTCCACAATCTGTTCCATAGATAAGATCTAAATTTAGAATGTGTGTTTCTTGGTTAAATTGTCATTAATTCCACTCTCTGTTTAACCTGTTGTGCTCTTAGGCTTTGCTGTGAACTTCACTGAAGTCACCATCACTATCAGATTTTAAACTATATGAGGGTATCTCAAATGAATCTGGTTCAGTTAATTTTAACATTTTCCCTAATGTTTTTTTTTAAAGCTATTTGGCACCTGTTGTATTTGCTGCAGTTCGGTGAGACCATCTCTTTGAAAATATCTTTCAAGGAGAGACAGATTTGGAAGCATACGATCAGCACTTGGTGTCTGTGATAACATCAAGTGACCCTAAATGTCAGGGAAGGACTATAATGTCCCTAATCTTTATGCCAGGCCATTGCTGAGTGCCAACACGCATGCCATTGTTTTACATCCCAATCAAATGGTAGGTAGCAATTTCAGTATTGCAGGGACTGGTGCTTCTATTGCCTCCTACTGGCTTGACTCATGCAGGCCACCCAAAATAGAGCACCCACACCAGCCAAAACTGCCTGAGTTTACACCTGGCTAAAGGATTTTGTGGTTCCACACTACACTCATCAGTGTTTTTTGTGCAACATCCATAATTTGTTCTGAAATGTATAGGTTGCAAACTAAAGTACCTATACACGGAACAAAGATGATGGTATTTACCTCTTTTTGTTAAAGAGATATTTTTAATTATAATAAGAGAAGAAAAGAGGCAGTAATCCAGAGGTTTGCAATGTAGGCTACATTGATTTAGCTAAGTAAAATGCTTTGTACTCTGAATGAGATGAGATGAACCAGATTTTGTGACCCTTCTGTTTCTTTTTGGCCGGTTCATGTGCCACATATAGAGTGTAAATTTGTTTTATCCAAAAAGCTATGGATTTGTTCACTATAAAGAGGTTCCCAAATGGATTTATAGCTGGTATGGCCAGGTGCTACATTGTTCTCCCACACCACATGACAGAGGAGGTTAGTAGAAAAGAAGCTGTAATGCAGTCTGTTGAGCTGTGCACTATGCTCAGCCAGCAGACAACCTTTTTGGGACTGCTGTCAGCAGGGCATATTTGAGCAATCCCTAAGCAGCTTTGATTTGTATCTCAGCTCAGGTCAGGCAGAGAATCAAGAAAACTGTATCTGTCTCCTTGATATGATGGTCCCTGAGTCATTTGTCACAGCTGAGAACCTGGTTCATTTGTCCTATTAATAATGAAAGGAAAGAGAAGCCATAGGGATATGTAAAATGCTTTGTCCAGACTATTAAATCAAGGCTTTGTATTTTAGTTTGCTGTGCATTTATTATAGCTGTTTGTTACTTCAAACTAAGTCACTGCTAGTTGTACACTCAGTAACAAACTCTTCTTACTTGGTCTTCTCAGCTGAAGGAAACCTAATAGTTGATGCAGGCTGCATGCAGTTCTTTTGGGATATAATTGGCTACATTTTGTTAAAAAAACCAACCAACCCAGGATGTACACTTGATGCAAATATTTATTGTACAAGCAACCTTTGATAATTAGCATGCTGGTTCTGTCTAATAAATGGTTGTATTGCTTTAACACCAAATAGTTTAAGTTCCATTGCTAAGTAATTATTTATCTGATTTTGGGAGTTAGCTGTCATAATGGGTAAATTATATTTTTGAAGCATATATTCAAGCCACTTTCTGTCGGACCATTAGGAATTCCTTTAGTTATTAGTTCCTTATGTTGTGTCTACAGTTCTGTAAGTAAAGATGACCACAGCTCCTGCTTATAGTCATTATTTGTACTTTTTTATTTGAGATTTCCATTGATTTGGGAATCAATTATAAGTTAGCATTTGTTGATACGGTTCTGCACCTGTGCTAATGGACAATACAGGAAATGTCACAGGGTTCATAGGAAAGCAATGGTTCTGGGTTGGCTTTTAGGTTATTCTAAGTCCTTTTCTGTCACTAGAAGGTCTTAGGATTTTTTCCTTAGTAGATGGCTCCAATGGGACTTCAGTGACTTTAGCACTGGGTCCTCAGATTTTACAAAGGTGTGGTTTCTTGGCACAGCTAGAAAGGGCTGTACCCACCACTCTTGAAACCTGTACTTTTCAGCTCTGTTGTGTTTACCTATATAAAATAAGGAAAAGCAGAGAAAGCATGGCAATGACAAGATCCCCATTGCATAATTTGAGCATGGTTATTTTAAAGTAAATTAAATGTCAGACGGAAGTTAGCTTTCTGTGGGCACTGTCTATCTGACTGTGAGGTAGGAAAGAGAAGTTCTTTGCTTTGGATATATATAGGATGTGTCATTGGGCTTCTGAGTAAAGTTGACTAAATAATGGCAGAAGTTTATAAACCTTAGATATAAGCTTAAATTGAAGAATGAACTGGAGCTCTGTATGTGGGAAATGATAGCATGCATCTGTGGTGTATAGGGCCTGATTTTAGAAACAGCCTCCCACATTGCAACAGCTGCATTCTGGATACGCTTAATAACACTTACATATCACTAGCTGACAGCAAGAACACTAGGTATAAGTAATAATAACTTCACTCCAAAATGTGTGACTAGAAACATTACAAATACACAATGGAAAGCTGTGTTGAGGTCCTTTTATTAAATAGGCCCTCAATACTCAATCCCTAAACCTAGAGAAAGTAATGTATTTACTTACAAGACAGTTAAAGGGAAAAGCGTTAGTTTAATATGCATGGTTTTTTTACCCTCCCTGCAGTTTGTTGCTTCATGATGTAGAGGAAAATTAAGGGATTCAAATAACATAGTTCTTTTCAGTTGTCAGTTTTGCTAAAAATAGACATCTCTTTTAGACTTTAACATATGGTAGTATTGTCTCCATGACTGTCCATGTCATATTGTCCAAAGAGAATCAAATGATGGGATGTTACTTTAAATCAAAGCTTAAATGTTCATAGTGAAATCTTGTTCTACGGAAGCTCATTGCAAACTGATGCATATCTGAAGTAAAATGAAGTGTTTAAGTAATGTATTCTATTCTCCTGCATCTGAAGATGTCCTTCAAACCGACAACACAGCAGTCCCTTATACATTATTCGTGAGCTAAGAAAACTTCACATTGGTTACAATTATTGTGACCCAAATTGGCTTCAACATTGAGAAAAATGTAAAATGAACTAGCAATTACAATTCCCCCTGAGCAGCAGGTGTCTGTTTTTTAACATGAATAGTCTGTAATATATCCATATAGGTTTCCCAGTGATGCTCAAATGCTAGGATTTATGTTGATAATTTACTTAGGTTTAAAAGTGAAATTAATATGGGCATTTAAGGCAAATGCATAATTCAGCTTGCTGGTAAAAAGAAAAAAAACCCCATTGTTTGGAGCTTTTCCCTGAATTAAGGAAACATTAAAATCCAGTTGTGGGACTGCTTCCTACCTTGCAGCTAAAATGAACGTGCAGATTAATATGGAAGAATATTGCCAGGTATTTTTTCCCTAGTGCTTGTGTTTGGGTTTTTTTGGTGTAGGACAGCTGATTGTTTATAATGCTCCCTTAAAAGTCATAATAGAAACTAATGAAATCTGTTTTCCCCTTTTTATGTTTAGCAGCTACTGCATCTTTCTGTATTTAGGGTAGAGAGTAGGGCTGTGAGAAATTTCGGCAGCCGTTGCATTTCAGAGGTGTTTTGAGCTATTCTGGAACCAAAAATACCTAATCTGAATCGAAACAGAACGCTCAGAAACATCTCCAAAAGGAAAAAAGGCATCTGAAATGTTTTGGCAATGTTCAGAAAATTTTGGAGTTTCATAGCTGGGCTTGCAGGGAAACAGCTGTACGCTGCTGCCCTGCCATGTGACTCGGCTCCACAGGGAGCAGAGATCTGGGGCAGCTCAGGGCGGACAGCAGTGTCGAGGAGAGCCCTGGTGCAGATCTCTGCTCCCTGCAGAGCCAGGTCGCACAGCAGGACAGTGCTGGTCCATGCCATGCGACCTGGCTTCACGGAGCAGAGATCCACACCAGGGTCTCCTTGATGCCACTGCTCACCCCACTGCTCATCCCACGTTGCCGGGGCAGTGGGGAGTGGGCAGCGGCAGTGGCGAGGAGACTCCCAGCATGGATCTCTGCTCCCTGTGGAGCCAGGTTGTGTGGCAGAACAGTGCTGGTCCCTGCCTGGCTTCGCAGGGAAAAGAGATCTGGGGCTGCATGGGGTGGGCACTGGTGGTGAGGAGACCCTGGCATGGATCTCTACTCCTTGTGGAGCCAGGTTGTGCAGCAGGGGAGATCCCTGCTGTACGACCTGGCTCTGCAGGAAGCAGAGTTCTGCGCTGGGGTCTCCTTGCCACCACTGTCCACCCCATGCAGCCCCACATCACCAGGGCAGTGCAGGGGAGACAAGCAGTGGCAAGGAGACCCCCAGCACAGATCTCTGCACCCTGCAGAGCCAAGTCATGCAGCAGGGACCAGCAGGCTTGCTCGCCACTCTGCCCTGCTTACCTGCCCCACGACCCGGCATGACAGGGATCAGAGATCCACGTGGGGGGTCTCCTCACTTGCACAGAGGGCACCAGCCCTTCCCCTCCCCCAGACAAGCCACCCATTGTCCATCCTGCTACCTGCTGGGGCCCTGCAGCCCCTGGCCCCAAGCTCTGCCCAGCTGGGTAGGACTGTGTGAAGCTTGTAGCCCATTCGAAACAGATTCAGAGGAGATTCAGCAGAAACGAAACAG